GGGCTGACCTCAAATGCAGTGGCGTCCGAAGTCAAGGCGTGCGAGAACCCATCCCTCAGGATTTTGGACAGTAGTTCATGGCAGCAGAGAGCGTCCAGACCCTGACCATCTCTGTTGTGAGGGTGCGGCGCAAATCTATCGATATCGACGTTCTGCTCTCTATAAGCGAGACCATGATTCTCCAAGAGTGTCATTATTTGGTCCACGGTCGCCCTCAGGAAATCAAGCCCGAACCCATTCCCACGGACGCCCCCTACCACGACCCGCAACATCGGATGATAGTGATGTTGGGTATACCCAACATCACTATCATCAGATGGGCGTGGGTAGATTGGCATGCGTGGGTATGGGTGCATGCTTGGTTTCCTGTTGAGCCTCTTCTGCTTCTTGTTGACATGAACGTCGAACATATCATCAACCTGCTTGTTGATGGTCGGGGCAATCTCCTTCAACTTCTGCAACATTGCGGGCTCAAGCCCGAAATCTGGCTCTGGAGTCGGGGCGGCCACCGTCTCGCCAGCCATGCTGGCGAAGGGTTTGAGAACCACTCGCAGCAACAAATTGCTGCGGAACGTGGGCCACGCGCAAGATATTGAACGGACATATATCGGATTCGGTTTAAATCCAAGGGAAGTGCACTAGTATTTCATAAGGCCCCTCATTGGTAACCCACTTGCGAACCTCAGCGAACCTACTTAGCGAACCTAGCTAGCAACCTGGTTAGCTTGGGGTGGATCCTAGATACGATCTGGTTAGATCCTGGATACTATCCGTCAGCATATCTACCCTAAACAACTTGCACGGATTACCCTAACTACGTTCATAACTTAGTGGAGTTGTTCGCACGTTTACATAACCACTGTAAAGTTTAGCTTCTACGTTATCTTGGTTTTGGTGGTTATAACGTGCTTGTGCATGTTATAAGCTGATTCTAATGAAGTTGTAAGCTCTTTACATCAATTTATAACTGTGCTATCTACTTGCTACCCCCCCCCGATTATCCAAGAACAACATTGGGGCGGCTGGAAGCCGTCACCCCCAAGGAGGAATGCATCCCCTCGGCGGGAGGGAGGCCGACCCGACGAGGGGGCGAATGCATCCCCTGGCGATTCCCCCCTGGAGACGATCTCTCGGCGTCTCGGGGCCGCCTCTAGGAGGTTCTTGGGCCCCATCCTGAGGGCCGTTCTCTGGGGGCCATTGGATGGGTTGGCGGGGGCGCGGCGGGAGCATGGGGGAGGGGCCTTCTTTTGAAGGCGGCTAGCTTTTGGGATAGCGCCCGCCCTCATCTACAGATCTGGCCCGAGCCTTCCAGAAGGAGGAGGTTGCTATCTGAGAAGCAATCCCCCTCCCCCCACCCCCCTCTGCGCGTGGCTGATCGGGCGTTGGTAGAACCTGGTTTAGTGAGCCGTCACCCGAAAAAAACACCAGCTATGGCGAACCTGGTTTAGTGATTCTGGCCAGTTCAGAGGCTCCGGGGCCCTACCACTGACCGGATCCCCTTACCCGGGGTCCAGGCCATACCCGAGCCGAATGGGGCGAGACTCCGCTACACGTAAGAGTGACCCTGGGTAAGAGTGACCTTTGGTGCGCGACTTTTGGGGGGCCGCGGGGGCACCAAACCTGGGCGCGCAAGCAGCTGCTACTGCCTCGTTTTTAGCCGTCTGGGAATCCATCTGTGCCCGCACCAAAGGTCACTCAGGCGAAAGGTCACTCTTACGTCTAATCGAAAGACCGTCCGGCGCGACGAAACTGCGACGCCGGGACCTCCGGGGCCGGCAGTACCCGATCTCGCGGGCAGCTCCCATCGGCGGTGGACAAACCTCCCTTTAGTAAACCTCCCCTTAATGAAAACGGCCTGGGACCGAAACCGACGGACCTGGACCCGCAGAAATGACGGCCGCGACGCCCTCTCGCGAACCGAAAACGGCCAATTCCCCGACAATTCAGAGGCTCCGGGGCCCTACCACTAATAACCGAGAGAGCGTGATCCACCGCCGCTTTACTGTGGAAAATTGCTGCTCTTTTCCTCCGGAACCCGGGGGCCCCCCCCCCCCACCGCACACTCCGCAAAATCCCCCCCCTACCCTGCTGGAACCCTGCCCCCCCCCCTTCTCCCCCCCCCCCCCCCCTTTCCCCGGGCAACCAACCCGGCCCAAAACCCCCCCTCCCCTAACCCCCCCCCCCCTCGAACTCGAAAGCCGGGGGGGGTCACGACCGGTTCGAGCCCCCCCCCCCCTCGAAAACCAGAGGAGGGGGTCACTACGGGTTCGAACCACTGAGCTGTCCCACTGTTCCCACCACTGTCCCCACTGTCCTCACCACTGTCCCCACTGTACCTCTGTCCCATTGTCCCACCGCCGTCCTCGCCACCGCCTTCACCACTGTCCCCACCACCACTGTACCCTCCACTGTCCCACTGTTTCCACCCCATTCCCACTGTCCCCACACCACTGTCCCCACCACCACCGTCCCCACCACTGTCCCACTGTCCCCACTGTTCCCACCATTGTCCTCACCATTGTCCCCACCACTACCGTCCCCACCACTGTCCCACTGTCCCCACCACTGTCCCGCTGTCCCCTCACCACTGTCCCCACCACCACCGTCCCCACCACTGTCCGCACCCCCCCCGGTTTTCGAGGGGGGGGGGGAGGGGGGGGGGGTTCGAACCGGTAGTGACCCCCCCCCTCTTTTCATGATGAACCGGGGGGGGGGAGGGGTTCGAACCGGTAGTGACCCCCCCCCCGATTTTCCGGAGGGGGGGGGGAGGGGCTCGAACCGGTAGTGACCCCCCCCGGTTTTCCGCTGGCAGCGGTAGAACACGCTCTTTCTACTAACCGGATCCACTTACCCGGGGTCCAGGCCACACCCGAGCCGAATGGGGCGAGGCCGTCCGGCGCGACGAGGCTGCGACGCTGGGACCTCCCGGGGCCGGCTCCGGGGCCCTATAATCCCCTTTCCCGGGGTCCAGGCCATATACCTTAGGCGGGGCGAACAGGGCCATCCAGAAGGTGGGCCGTCGAAAGGGTGCATGGAACGGCTTTCGGGGAGGCGTTCCAAGATTTCTGGAACGCCTTTCCGCCCAGCGTTCGGAGCAGTTCGGTCGCCTCGGCCCACGGCCCGCTACCGCGTCGACATGGAGACACCTCGAAGCGGGATCAGGCCGCACGAGTGAAGCCAAATTGTCTGCGAGGGGCAGCCTTGGAATTGCTGTTCTGCCACCCTCTCTCCTTCTCGTCCTAGGTGTGCCCGTCGACCGCCGCGCCCTTTCTGTGGCGCCGAAGTGGCCACTTCGCCTGGTCTGCCCCGTGCACGCTCCCGTGCTGGCCCTCCCCCTGCCTCCGCCCACCGCGCAGCCCCTTGCCCCCTCCGCCGCCACCTCCCCTTTTCTCCCTTCACTCCCCTTTTCGCCCCGCGTCGTCGTCGTCGTCGTCGTCGTCGTCGTCGTCGCCCCGCGTCCCACACCAGTGTCGTTCAGCGCCTCACTGATGCTAGTCCGCTACTTACATCTGCCAACCGCGCCCATTTTCTCTCGCACTCTGCCTCCCTCATCCCTCCCCCCCCCCCTCCCCCTCCCTTCCCCCAGCTCCCCTGTCCTATTTCGCCTTCCCCCGTCCCCTTCCCCTTCCCTCCCTCCATTTGCCCCTTTCTTCCAACCTCGTGCTCTCCCGCTCCCACCCCTCCCCATTCCCTCCGCCGCCAGCCCTTCCCGAACGCTGTTCCGGGAAGGCGCGCAGCCCTTCCCGAACGCTGTTCCGCGGAGGCCGAATGCAGGCCCCAAGTGGGCCATCCGTCCGGCTGATGCTCCGAGGCCCCAAGTGGGCCATCCACCCGGCTCCTGGAGGCCGCCCCCCCCGAGGCCCCAAGTGGGCCATCCATCCGGCTCATGCACGCCCCCGACCCTCGCACGCCCTGCGCGCAACCCCCTCGCCGCCCCCAGGCCCCAAGTGGGCCATCCACCCGGCTCATGGAACATCACACCGGGGCACCCAGTACCCCTGCACTGGTCCAGGGCCCCAAGTGGGCCATCCGTCCGGCTGATGCTCCGAGGCCCCAAGTGGGCCATCCACCCGGCTCATGGAACCCCTTCCCAGAGCTCCCTCGGAAAGGCGTTCCGCGCCTCGGGGGAAGGGTACTCGCGCGCCTGGCCGCCTTGGCTCCCGCGACCCAGGGCGCCCTTGCACCGATCCCAAACCACCCCGCCTCTCCCTCCCCTTCTCCTGCTCCCATGCCTCCCTCCCTCCCTCCCTCCCGCCAGCATTCCTGCCCTCTCGCCCCGCACCTCGTCGTCCCTTTTCTCCCTTTTCGCCCCGCGTCGTCGTCGTCCTCCTCCTCCTCCTCCTCCTCCTCACATGTCCTCATCCTTCCGCCCCCCCTCCTTCCTCCTCCATCATCCTCCGCAATCCTGCTCCCGCCCTCCTCCCTCATCGTCCTCCATGCTCATCCTTATGAACCTCCTTTTCCTCCTCCTCCCTCATTCATCCCATTATCACCTCTCCCTCCTCCTCCTTCTCCTCCTTCTCCTCCTCCTCCCCTCCTCCTCCCCCTTTTTTTGACAACCCAACGTCGAGGCGAGTGCACCGCGTCTAGAAGGGCAGCAGTACAGGTGTGGAGGACACTGAGAAAACATGAAGGGAGAAGAGATCGAAAGCCAGTGGGACCATTAAATACGCAAGAGAAGTGGAGACAGTCGAGAGGGCCCAGGGCTGTCTAGCTGGCAGGAGCTGATTCCAGCAAAGATGGTTGAGGGACGAGGTGAAAGTGGACGGCCGAGCCATCCGCAATCCCAGCTGTGATTTCTCGCACCACCGCGCTTCCATCCACCCGATGAACGGCCCACTTGTTCATCCACCCCCTGGATGGCCCAGTTCGCCCCCTCCAAATACCCGAGCCGAGTGGGGCGAGAGCGACGAATTGCTGCGACGCCGGGACCTCCTGGGGGCCGGCATGCCACCCGATCCGGCGGGCAGCTCCCTGGGAGAGGCCCCCCGCAGGTGGGCCTTTGAAGGCGGTGCCGACCACCAGGAGCGGCACGGGAGGGGGCTCCTGCCCGGGGGCGGCGGCCGCCGCGGCGCGGGCCGGCAGAGGAATTTGGACGCCCGAAATGGGTACGCAGGGCTGGAGTGAAACGGTGTTTTCCATTTTCGTTCTGTTTTCGTCATCCCTGGTTCTGTCTTCGTTCCACATTTGCTGCAGAACGAAGGCAAAACGAAAACGGTCCACGAAATTGCCAAAACACCGCGTAGCTCGAGCCCTGTGGGCACGGAACAAATGGGCACAATGCTCAACAACGAATGTTGTCCAAAGCCAACAGCGGCCGCTGTTGGGAAGGCGGTCTTCTGTTTCAAATGGACACAGGCCGCGGCGGCGCGGACAGCGAGTCCTGTTCAAAATGAACAGGACTCGCTGTTGGGCATTGTACCCATTATTTCCGTATCCATTTCGTTCGCGCAGAGAGGGGGGGCGGCGGTGACCAGATCAGTAGCACATCGAAGCCTCACCCCGACCTCCTCGGGTCGCGAAAGAGCCGACGGAAAGAGCTTCGCATGTCTGGGCCTCCGGGGGTCCACACTGGGCCCCAGGACCGTCCAGCAATGACCCAGGGCCAGTCTCTGGGAATGGGCCCAGATCTCTGGGGAGCCACGCTGCGAACAAAAAACGACGTCGGAGGTCTTCCAGGTAGGGGGCTGACGCTTCGAGAAGCTGCTCCTGTGGGCACCAAGCCCATGAGAGCTGGCCCAGGCAAAGGGGGAACGGCATGTCACAGCGGTGTGGTTGCCCCGCGCCGAGCGGCGGGCGGGACATGTAGCTTGCTCTCAGCGCCGAAGCTCTTTGCAATTATCTTCCAAAACAAAACAGGCCTTATCTCGGCAAGAAAACGAGGCAGGGGACGAGGAAAGCGGGGCAGGGGCGTGCCCGAGGGCCAGAGCTGGCGCGCCCACGGGGTCACGGGCCGTGACCCGTGGGCCAATCACCACGCCACGACTCCTGGCGTGGTGATGGTGATGGTGCTGGTCCGCCATCGCGCCCGGGGCGCGTCGTGACTGTCAGAATGCCCAACGGTGCTGCGGCGGGGTCTTGGTGCTCTGGGGGCCGACCGCCCCCTGCTCGCTGCATCGGCCTGCCCCTCCTCCGCCTTTTGCCCTGGTCCTCCTGCTTCCCAGGTTCCTCCTGCGCCTCCTGCAACTGCTGCTGCTGGTCCCTCTCCTCCTCCTCCTCCTCCTCCCCCTCCCCCTCCTCCTCCTCCTCTTCCTCCTCTTCCTCTCTCCCTCCCTCCTCCTCCTCCTCCTCCTCCTCCTCCTCTTCCTCCCCCTCCTCCTCCTCCTCCTCCTCCTCCTCCTCCATCCGCTTTTTCCTGGAAAGGGCCTGAGCCCAGGGTTCTCTTGTAATAGGTTCACCCCCCGGAAGCGGGCTGGCGGAATTATTTGCGGTAAATAACGAGGCGGGAAGAGGGCCGGCGGAATTATTTGTGAGGGTGTCCCGAGCGAAACGCTTGTTGTTTTCAGAACTTGTTGAGGATGCCTCGAGTGAAACGATTGTTTTGTGTTATAGATGTTTCCACTCCTGGGGACCAGAATTCAGAGGATGTCTCAGGTGAAATGTTTGGTTTACGTATGTTCTGCATTGGGATGTGTGCGGGGAGCGCTTTTCGCTTCCCCCCGCCCCCCAGGACGCCTCAGGAGGTTCGAGAAGCGTGAAAGCACATGGTTTCCTAACGCCCCAGGGCGGGACAAGCGTGAAAACACATGGGTTCCTAACGCCCCAGGGCGGGAGAAGCGTAATTCGGCACGCCACGCACACGTGTCGCGGCCTCATAGGGAGCTTCACCGAAGACCCCAGTGCCACCGCCCGCAAGCGTCACGCACACCAATTTCGGCACACCACGCACACGTGTCGCGGCCCCATAAGGAGCTCCACCGAAGGCTCCAGTGCCACCGCCCGCATGCAAAACGCACACCCATATCGCCACACCTCTCACACAATTCGTGGCCCCACAGGGAACTCCACCGAAGGCCCCAGTACCACCGCCCGCATGCGTCACGCACACCCATGTTGACACACCCCTCACACGTTACGTGGTCCCACAGGGAACTCCACCGAAGGCCCCCGTGCCACCGCCCGCATGCGTCGCGCACACCAATTTCGGCACAGCCTGCACACGCTTCGTGGCCCCACCGAAGGCCCCAATGCCACCGCCCGCCCGCGTCACGCACACCCATTTCCGCACACCCCTCACACGTTTCGTGGCCCCACAGGGAACTCCACCGAAGGCCCCGGCGCCACCACCCGCATGCGACGCGCACGCCAATTTCGGCACACCACGCACACGTGTCGCGGCCAATTCGGAGCTCCACCGAAGGCTCCAGTGCCACCGCCCGCATGCGTCACGCACACCCATGTCGGCACATCCTCAAACGTTCTGTGGCCCCATAGGACCCCAGTGCCACCGCCCGCATGCGGCGCGCACACCAATTTCGGCACCATGCAGGGCTCAGGGCTCAGGAACTCCAGGGAGCCGACGTCGCAGGAGGACGATCCATGGTGCGACGTTCATCGCCCATGGGTTCCCAGCCCAAAGAACGTCACCGCAACCATTTTGGCCTCCTCCTGGGGCCTCCTCCTGGGGCCTCCTCCTGGGGACTCCTGGGGCCTCTTCCTGCAGGGGCCTCCTGGGGCCTCCGCCTGGGGCCTCTTCCTGGGGCCTCCTGGGGCCTCCCCCTGGAGCCTCCTCCTGGGGCCTCCTCCTGGGGCCTCCTCCCAGGGCCTCCTGGGGCCTCCTCCTGGGGCCTCCGCCCTTGGGCGACCCGGGACCTCCTATCGACATTCGTGCAACAATCAGCGAATTAGTCGAGACATCCTCCAAATTCTTACGCGCGGGGCGCGGCGCGCGCGAGACTGCGCGCGCGACGCTCATCTCTGCAGCGCTGCCATCCATCTCTCACGCAACCGCTCATATTCCTCAGCGCGTTTCATTTCAGTTCATATCGGTTCAGATCTCTGTGCGTTTGATGTCAGCTCATACATCTTGCTTGGCGCGGCATGTCATCTCTCGGCGGCTGTGAGCTTGATTGCATCGCGGCCCTTCGTATTTCAACATCGTGTTTGATTTCACGCATTTTCCTCCCTCGTCCCCGGAAGTACTTGGCGCCGCAGTGACCTAGCCTTCGCTAGCGGCGCGGGGGCTGAAAATCTGGCCTCCGAGAGGGGGCGCGTCTGACGCGAGAGCGCCGTGAAGCACCAGGCTGACCAATCACATGGTCAACCCCCAGACCCCCCCTGCGCGGTACCCTGAGGCCGTTGAGAAATCAACGCAATGCAAAGACAACGACAAGGACAGCGGCAGTCAGCACCGAGAGTGCACGTGGATACTGCGCGGCAGGAGAAGACGCGACTGTGAAGCAAGGAGGAAGAAAGAAGGAGGAATAGTACTGACGGAAGAGGGAAGAGGATAGGAAACTACATATGGAACTCCGCTGGACACCGAAGATTCACGGGTGCCCGACAACCTGCCTGGGAGTTCAGCCGCCCCTGAGCAGGGGCTCATTGGCCCAGCATCCAAAACAAAAGGTCGGAATGGCCCGGCCTGTGCTGGTGTGCGCGCTCTTGCCGCGTAGACTGCTACCCTGGGGCCCTAAAGGGCGCAAATAGACAAAGTCCAAAAGCTGGAGGCCGGCAGGGGTGGAGGAGGGAACCGCGAAGCTGCTGTGATGCTGCGTGCACACTCCCTGCGCTACCCATGCTGACTCCTCCACCCTCTACCCCTCTCCTCCCTGCTGCACATAACATCCATTCGTAGCAGGAGAGCCGGAGGATACGAAGTCCAGCAACTTCGTATCAAGAGCATGTCGAGATCGTGGCGCGTGCCATGATACAAAATTTCAGCAGCGTTTGTATCATATGGTTGTTGCAACCCAACGCTTCCCATGCTTACTCCTCCTCCCTCTACTCCTCTCCTTCCTGCACCCCCGTACTTCCTATGCGAAGGGAATCGCGCGTGAACCACCGGGGCATCAATCACACGTCTGCCCCTAAAGCTTCACGTAGTTTCCTCCCTCGACCCCAGAAGCACTTGGCGCCGCAGTGACCTGGCCTTCGGCAGCGGCGCGGGGGCTGCCGGCATCACAGGCCACCGCAGGGGGGGGAATGGGAAAATCTGGCCTCCGAGAGGGGGCTCCTCCTCCTCCTCCTCCTCCTCCTCCTCCTCCTCCTCCTCCTCCTGGTCAACCTCCAGACCCCGCATCCAAAACTCCACCCCTCACGACGGCCAGTCCCGGGCAGCCCGCCAGGGAAAACCACTCCGCCCCGACTGCCCTTCCAAAAGTAGCAGGCCTGCCAAGTGGAGCTGCTGGGGATGGTAAACGGTGCGCTTGCGCATCGTGCCTCCACGCGTTCATTTCTGCTGCCGCTGTCTCTCTCTCTCTCTCTCTCTCTCTCTCCCTTTCTATATATGTATATATATATATATATGCGTGCTGTGCGAGAGTGTTGCCACCGACCCAGGACCGTGACCCCATCGAGGGATCCCGTGAGGAGTCGCGACCATGTGTCACCGCACGGAGGCCGTATGGCGCGACCGTTGCACCAGCAACGCCGAACAGGTTGCATAACCACTTGTACTCGCGTACGAAATGCGACGGGGGCTGCGTGTACAGGCCTTGGGTGCTCTGCCGGCCGTGGCACGCCAACTGCAAGGCCCGGGCGGCGACGCGGTCCGTGATACAGACGTGCTCAGCGACCCCATGCCGCTGAGAAGTCTTCGTGTGTGGAAGCGTGATGACAACCCTGTTTCCCTCAGGGTTGAAGTGGAGCTGCGCTGGCGTAAGGGATACCGCTTCCGCTGTACGGAGTAAGCCCCAAAAACCAGCGAGTAGAATAGATGCCAGATCTGGCCGCTGAAACGACATTGCTGCCCCGACGAATCCACAAAAGAGTTCCCTATGCCAGGGCGGTGCCCGCTTGCGTTCCAAAACACTCCCAATTCCTCAGATACTGGCGGGCCGTAGGGACAGCGGGGCGAATGCCAGGATAGAACCGGACCAACCCAGACACAGTGTCAGTTGCGTACCCGTGAGAATCCCCCCCATCCATAAATAATTGACGCATTCTCCTAGGGTGTAATCGAATTCCGGGAGAGAACGTGGTAAGCGTATGTCAAAAGTCCGAAGGTAATGGAAGAAATTACGAAGCGCTCTTTGGTATCGCGCTGACGTTCTTGCTGTAATGCCTATTTGCCTCAAGTGGGTAGTTCGCCGGACTCCCCTCTGGAGCCGGCGGGTGGGCCTACCCGTCATTGTCGGGTTTGCAGAGGCGGCTTGCGGCGTCCGCAAACTGCCACTGCGAGGTTGTCCATAATCCCACCGAGTAGGCATCCAACGCAAGCTCGTATGTCATCAGGCGGCGGCGCGGGCGATTGAGTCTCCGACTGGAGCTCCTGCCCTTCGCCACGACTACCGCGGCGACCTGGCTATCGAACACGTTGATAAAGCGTAAAGAATGAAAGCGCGAACAGCGAGACTTTTTCCGGACATAATTGAAATGCGCAATAAGCTCCAAAATATTTATGTGTTGAGGTACCTTCCACGGGTACGACATAACTGTCGACCACTGCCAGGCGAATGCCGGATACGGGGCAGTTTGCGCCATGTGGGCGACCTCGCTGTCGGCCAGCCACACATGGGATCCTCTCGTATCAGCCCACCGGAGTATACTCCGAAGGTGTTGGTGCTCCGCACCGGGCGTCATGCCCTGCAGAATGCGGTGCGTTTCCAGCGCGGCGGCCGAAAAGCTGCCTGCTCGCGGACTCCGGCGCGACAGCGCCAGCTGATCTGCAACCCACTCGCGCCTATAGGCCGGCGACGCGGGAACCGTAGCAGCTAGCGCTGCCGAGATGGATTCGCGCACCGCTTGTGCGTGCAGCTGCCGAAAGGCAGCGTTCGACCAGGTGGTCGGCGGGTCCGCCGTAAGGAAGAGAGGCAGCGATGCAAATGTGTTGAATTATGTAGAACGCAGAACGTGGTAGCTTGACTGGGGTGGTCCTCGTATAAGTTTATACACTCCAAGTACACCTGCTTGTAAGCGTGCGGCTGAAGGACCTGAGGAAAATTCCACAAGAAACTATACCAATGGTGCATTATTTCGCAGACTCCCACGTTTACCGAACGATGCCAGAAACTGCGAATTATTGCATAGGCCATGGAATTGTCTCTGAATGTTTGCGACCGCCGCTGCACGAGCGAACCGGGCACGCCCTGAGGGTGATCGGGGGAGCGCAAGGAGCCAGCGAAACACCCGCGCGCTTTCCAGTCCACAGCCGCGCAAGAGCACCCCAGTGGCCTGGGGGATAACCCAATGCTCCCACACTGCGTGCACGGAAGAAGCCTCCTGGGCAAGGCAAGGTTGCCGAGGGCGGCTTCCGACCGCGCCTCTGGACTCAGCCGCGCGGCGCGGCCGATCGAGGCAGACGCGTCTACGCCCGCTTGGGCCACCGCCCAACTGAGCTCCGCCTCAGGGCCCGGGAATCCCTCCAGGAACTCTGGCAACCGCGTGCCTGCCAACGGGCAGGCCGTTGTTCTATGGACAAGCGCGCAATCCACGCAGCACATCACAGCACCGCAGGACACTGGGCAAGCCGCGGACGCACCAGAGCTCAGAGGCCCCCCGAAGCAAATGCAGCAGGCCTTGGGCGACGACGGCCCGGCACTGGATTCCTCCGCCAAGCGAGCAAGATGAGCCTCGATTTCTTCCGCCCTGGATGGGTGCAGCATTGGCGAAAAGGTGACGGCTTCCGCTGCGCCGCCCCCCTGCTCCGACGCACCTGCGCAAGAAATGCTGCGTTTCACAGGGGCTCGGAGGTTCGCGAGGGCCAAAGGTAAGAGCATCGCGAACGCCAGCATCTCGTCGATGACCAATGGGTCGGCCTCCGCTGGCCCCGCGAGCGAGGCCTGGATGGTAGGGAAGACCTGCTCCAACACTGCGAACAAAAGGCGACGGAATCAAGCGGCGAAACACGCCTGGCCAGCCCAGTGCTGCAAAGCACCGGCGCTCGAAGAGTTTTGACTGGCCAAAAATGCTGTCTTCATTGCGAGCGAGCGGACTTTGTCAGGCGATGCCAACAACCACCCGCGATCTCCAGTAAGACGTCCGCCGAGAATCCCAGACCGCAGACTGGCCACGAGCGACGTGGCTGAGTTCAGCGGGATTCCGTACCGCGCACACACTTCTACAAAAGTTCTGTGCTCGCGAGATTCGCCCATCCGCAGCCTATCGAGGCGCGCCTGGGCCTTGCGGATGAAATCGAAGCCGTCGAGACACACTACACTGACATCGTCCACTGGAAACGGCCGGTCTCGGCGGAGTTCCGCGGCAGGTGACGCGCGCGCCATTTCGAACACAAGCGCGCGGATCACACGTTCCATAATGAACACGGCCGCTTTGGATCCCATGGCGACCGCGCAAATCCCTACCCAAGCCATCCGGTTCGCATCGGAACCAAATGCGGAAGCCAGCGCTTTCTTTGAAAGCGTACAATATCCAAGCCACTGGGGTGGTAAGCAGAAAATGTTAAAACACCCTTTTTGGTCCTCCGCGTCGCCCCATAACTCCTCGCCATCCTCTGAGACACAGCTGGCCAAAAGAGTAGCGAATGGCAACGTGTGGTCGTCGCCCCGCAGCTTGCGCATGTAAGCGTTTAGGGGTGTAAATATTTGAATGAATCGCAACAGCGTTCCTCCGCGGCGCCCCCCCTTGCCTGGCCTGTCTATGCCCATGGCCCCCACGGGGCATCCCGCAAAGTCGCGAAAACAGCTGCGTCGGGCACTTCGGTAAAAATGCCCCGGCGTGCGCCCTCGCCCTCTTTCGCGAGCTTGTACCACTCGCGGTCGGAAGCGCGCGTGCGGGAACATGGCGGTTCGTCTGGCCACTCACTGGATGGCGACAGGCAGCGCGCTGGATCCACCGCGTCGTCGAGGAATTCACCATCCAAGAACATCGTGGCCGGCACTGTGGCTGCTTCGCCTGCCTCTGGCCAAGCTGGGCAGACCTTGTTGGCGTCGTGCGCTGACGATGTCGCCCGAGTAGTCGGTGCGTCTCAGTAGGAGCTCCTGCTTCAAGTCCGGCACGCTCGGGGCGTTTACGGAATGAGCTAAGAACTCCACAGCGGACTCCCAAAAATGGTGCACAGACCGCCTCTGCGACCGCGTCAATGCGGGCGCTGCGCACGCGGCCGCTGGTTGGGGCCGCGGCTCGGTTGGCACCCAAGCGGCCTGGGCGAAGAAGTTGACGGCAGTGGTAATACACCAGACTATTGCTTGGCATTGCGCGGCGAATACGTCGCTAGCCCCAGCTTCGGCTGACAACTTGAATGCTTCATCCCGGGCAGCGGAGGGCGGGATTGGAAGCAAGTCGTTTGAAGGCCGAGTGCCGGAAGGGGGATCGAGGGAGGAATATCGCCCCAGCGGGGTATCTAGCGTAGGTAAGCCATCATCCAATAGTGTCCATATGTCTGGTGTGTATGCACACTTGCCCAATTCGTCCCACCACGCGTGTCTCCATGCATGTATGTCCTTCTGTCGCGCCCGTGTCGCACGTGCCCTGGTAGTGCGTGACAGCGCAGTAGTAGTTGGCGTGGGCGTGCTGCGCGCGCTGGAAGTAGTGGGGGTAAGTGCGCTGTGAAGGCAAGGCGGCGGCTGCCTCCGGCACGCCGCCAGACGGGACGGACCCATCGCTCTAGACGGCTCCGCAAACCCGCCGCCGGACTCAACGCCTGGCAGGGCGTCGGACTCCACATCCGCACCCGTGAAGGAGACGCGCGGGGGGCCCTCCAGACACATCCCCACCCCTCCGGTAAACCGCGGCGCCGGCGCTCTGGCCGCTTCCATCGGGGCGCCCAGGGGGGCAACGGAATCAACATCCGCGCCTAAAGGCACTTTGGCGGCAAGGGGGCCTTGATGACTCGACCTGGCGCGCCTGGCGGCCGCCGGGGATGCGGAAGTCACTGCCGGCAAAGCGGAATCGACATCCGCGCAGGCAGGCAGCGGGGGGCGGTGGGAGTCGCGACGACTCACGCCCACTTCCCTGGTTTGCCCTTGCCTTTCCCTTTTCTCGGCAAGGTCGAAAGACCCTTCCCGCCGAGGGGGTCGCCCCGCCAGTTCTCCTGTTCCCCTGCCGCGCCATGGTCTGGCCGACCACCTTTTCCTATTCTTTGCTGCGGGTGGTAAGGCCGCCCGCCGGCCAGCTGCTGCTCCGCTCTGGCTTCGGCGCGCATCGTGCGCCGCTCCGACCGGCCAGCGAGCGCGGCGCCCTCGTCCGGCAGCAGGCTCAGGAACCGCGCGCGGTCCCAGTTCCCGTCCGCGACTGCCTGCTCGAGCGCCTTGAGATGCTGC